ATTTCTGTGATGTGGAGGCAGTAGCAAATTATTGTGAGTGAGAAATGATGAAAACCTTTCTATACTTATAAAACAGAGGAAAACAAACTTGGAAACAGGATAACTTTGTTATCTGCTTTATATATATAGTTATATATATATATGTAGTTGTATAACTATAGATACAGTTAATAAAGTGTTGAACAGAAGAATAGCTTGACTGCTATCTTCTTTCCATGTGGTGATACATTTCAAAACTTGCTATAAGAAATAAATCAGTTGAATTAGAGTTCTTAAAAATATTATGGGAGCAACAGAAGTAGACTCGTGACTTGTCAGGGATGTACATGTAAGCTTACGTGTAAGCTTAAGAGTTTTGAAATGTTTTTCTACATGCAAGATGGTTGTTTTGTGACTGAAACCAAGTCTTCTCAAATTCAATACATCAGTGCAGCAACTGAGGAAAGCGGAGACTTCAGCATAGCAGTGTTTCAGAGTTGGTAGACAGCATTATCAATGATGTCTTTCTACTCTGAAATTTGCTTTTGCTGCTGTCTGGTAGACTCCAGATTTGTTTGTTTTACTGTATAATGCAAGGTCATTTTCTCTAATCTTTTGCCTGGGACGTGTGTGAAGGTTTTGTCTTTTTATGACTAAATTGCTGTTGATTTCCTGAGTTAGGTTATAGCTCCATTGATTTGTTTCACTGGGAAATAAGTTCACCAAAGTGCTAGCATATAGTCAGGAAGGCATCTTAGGGCAGTTAGCAGATACAAAAATCTTTTCTGAAACAGTGAGACCGTGCCAAATTTCTCTAGGGAATATTGCTTCTGTCCATGAGTGTGGAAGGGGAAAGGAGATAGCCAGAATTCAATTGAATAGCGTGTAGAGGAAGTTGAAATTGAAGACGCATAAGCAGTAGGAAACCAACCTCGGGCTTGGTGTCATGTTTTGCAGCGTTAACAGCAAAGCCAACAAAATGAGTCCTCCTAGTTATCAAACAAAGACCAGGCCAACTCTGAGTGTGTATGCCAGTTAACTGTGGCTGTGCTGGTGTTTAATTATTCTTTGTTTCCATTTATAGCCTGCTAAAATGTCTACACTGTATGGATTTTCTTGCAGTTATTTTTTTAAGATTACATTCAGCTTTTTGTATAGTGACTGTGTAATGCTTATCTCTGAAAATATCCTGTAGCTCTGTCCTCTCACTGGTATGGTTAAGGAAAACTTGGGTGGTGACATAAATGTTGCAGCCTAACAGAAAAAGGGTAGAAGATGATACCAGAAGTTATATGATGCACTTACAGAAGGTAGCTTTCATTTTTACGTAGGTAGAAAGACAATCCAGATTTTTACATAGCCTTTGGGTTTGTGTGTATAAATATTAAACTGAAAGTGGTTATATTTTCTTAAAGAAGAGAATGTGAGTTACTGTTATAGACATTAAATATGAGATGTGGAATATACAGATATAGGTTTTGCTATTAACAATGAAATGTAAAGCATTTGGGTAGGCTACAGACCCACCTGAACCACAACCTGGCAAGACTTAAACATATAATTTGGTTTCTCCAAATAATTTCCGTTTTTTGAGGAAGTCATTACTTGTGTCTCAGAAGGTCCCAGTCCTGTGAAAGTGTGTAACTAGTGACTGGTGTAACTAGTACCTTTTACATAGAGAACAGCAAGCTGAGGAGCAGAGTTCATCAGTGTGTACAATACAGCACATTTGTAATAACCCCAGTAAATCTAAACAAAGTTTAGCCCTACAGTTATGAGAAATTCTTTAGAAGTGTTTTCTAACCTGTATATTAGACAAATTACCACCTCAAGTCACTTTAAATTAAGCTATGTTTGCAGAATTTTGTTTGCACAGCTTACATATAGAATGTCTTTAAAAAAAAAAAAAAGCTCAAAACCAAAAGGAGAGTTGAAAAACAAACTGCCCTTTATGTGCCTGTCTTCTAGCAGCATGCCTCATCATGAGTCAAAGTGAACTCACTTTTTTATCTTAGCCCAAATTCGAGAAACTTTCAGTGTAAAATTCTCCAAGGCTTCCTCTAGGGCTTCATAAGATAGTAACATGTAGGGAGTGAGGAGGGGGAGAAACAGAGGAAAAAGGAAGTGGTATAAATCTGGAAAGGCTTTTCTTAACTGCTCAGATCAGCATTTCCGATACAAGAGACAAACTATGAAAATAAGTCAGTAGACAAAAAAACACATCTATTTTTAATAGATCTTTCTGAAACTGAGGTAACATCTGTCTAAAGATAGAATGATTTTCTTCATGTAAACACAGAAATCCCTTGCAGTGTGAGGTCTCTTCCTTCCCCTTACTCAGCACCTCCACAACATGTGTATTCATTTGTACACATTGATTTAAATTGATATAAAGTCTCATCTGTTAAGATGAACCCTTCTGTCCTTTGCTTTCCCAATTTTCTGTCTATAAAAAAATCAGGAGTGTTAATGAGCTTAACATGCTGGTAGTAATGACCCATATTTATGTGCAGCTCTTTGCAATATAGGAAAGCCTCTTTCAACACTTACTTCAGATAGCGTGGTTGCAGTAGATATGAACATTCTTATTTTTTAACAATCCTTCTCTTTGTTTCTTGGCTTTGTTGTACTAAAGTGTACGATCCATTTCAGGGCTGTAGCTGTGTTCAGTTCTGTAACCTTACCCAATCTGTTCCATGTCTGTGAGTGATGGGAAGCAGGTTTCCGCTGTCCCTGTTATATCTGGTGTCTGCTCTGTTCATGAATATTTAATGGCTGCCTATGTCATGGAATTCAGAGAGGGATGTTTCTTATGTGACCAGCTCATAATTTGTACACAGGAAGCATGGTGCTGAAAACTAGATTAATGCCCATATGCAAGAACTGTTTCTAATACTGTATGTATACAAAAATAATATTTTTCTCTTATTTTGGATACCTTCTTGGAACCTTTTCTTTATGTTTCTTCCTGGCTATGTCTTACTGGGCTGAAGCCATCTTCAATGGCTCTTTGATATTGGCTTCCACGAGAGAATTAAGTAACAAACTTGCATAGGTTTGGAATTACAGTTTGTTAGCTTCTTCTCTGTCCATTTCTTGTACTCTCACTTTCCAGGAAATAAAGTTAACGGTCCCCTCTGACGACCAGGCCACAATCAGCATGCCAGTGCTTGCTGCTGTAAGACTTGCTGGAACCTTCTTGTGACTGTACACAATGCTGATTCATAGAATCACAGAATGGTTTGGGTTGGAAGGGCCCTTAAAGATCATCCAGTCCCACCCCCCCTGCCATCAGCAGGGACACCTTCCACTAGACCAGGTTGCTCAAAGCCTCATCCAACCTGGCCTTAAACACTTCCAGGGAGGAGCAGCCACAGCTTCCTTGGGCAACCTGGGCCAGTGTCTGACCACCCTCACAGCAAAGAATTTCTTCCTAATATCTAATCTAAACCTCCCCTCTTCCAGTTTAAAGCCATCACCCCTTGTTCTATCACTCCCTGCCCTTGTAAAAAGTCCCTCCCCAGCTTTCTTGTAGCCCCTTCAGGTACTGGAAGGCTGCTATAAGATCTCCCTGGAGCCTTCTCTTTTCCAGGCTGAACAGCCCCAACTCTCTCAGCCTGTTCTCATAGGAGATGTGCTTCAGCCCTCGGATCATCCTTGGGACCTCCTCTGGACTCATTCTGACAGGTCCATGTCTTTCTTGTGTTGGGGAAAGTTGTGATTTTATTCCTTGTCATAAAATCAACCCCCCAGCGTCTGGGTCAGGGACAGGGAAGACAGGGGCTTTGAGCTAAAGCAGTTGTTACAAGTCAATCTAGTAGCTGCTGTTGCTGGGAGAAGTCACTGTTCCTCTGTGACCCTTGCTGTCCTTTTGCTACCCTCAGCTGCTGAATCCTGCCTCCTCTGATATATATGGGCTTGCACGGTCACGTCCCTGCGTGAGCTGACCACAGAAAACTTTCTGTTGAATTTGTTCTCTGATGAGATGTGTAGCTAAATACACTGATGGAGGGGTGTGCCAGGTGATAAAACTAGCACAAGAAGTGACACAACTGTGTCATGGGAAGTGACTCCCCTTTTTGGCAGAATAACGGTGCTTCGTTGCCACCATTCCTGGTCCTCAGATGAGTTAAGCTGGAGTTCACATCTGTTGTCCACAGATGTGTCCAGCCTTGTGTTGCCCACTCTGCTGTTTCAGCACACAGCCTGTTTTACCAGGTGGTGAAACAGATCCCAAAACTAACCTGGAGTGGAGGGGCAAGGCTTTGTTTTCATCTTGATCAGCATCTGAATGAATACAGAGAGCTAGGCCAGCAAGAAGGGCCTCTGCGGGGACAGGGATGAACACGTGAAGCGGTTGTTGCTTAAACCAGTGTAACTCATAAAGAATTACCAGCTGAGTCAGACCCTGGTTTTGGGATCACTTCAACATTATCCAGCACAGCCCAAGCTTTGACCTGCACTTTTTAGCCCTGCTGAGGGTCAGTGAAAGGCTGTTGGCAGCTCTCTCTGCTCTCTCCTTTTCTATAGAGGAGCAGATGTTTACTTGGAGAGTATGAACTTTCTTTTTGCCAGCTCCAGACCCCGAGTCACACCTGTAGCAGCTGAAAGACCCTCTTAGATGCTGAGGTTGTATTTCTTAGGTGGTGCTAGTACAGTAAGACTGTTTTTCTGCCTTGTCAGCAAGTTCCAAATTGATGTGCTAGCCATCTGCATCTTGCCCAGTGCATCTACATCTGGGCTTAGGAAGGGCCTAGAATACGTGATCCATAATAGACTGCTGCTGTGGATGTTTTCTAGCAGTGTTTGACATACATAGAAATGCATCCATCCTGTGTGTGACATAATATACCAGGTGTCTGCTTCTGTCATATACCCTGATGCTCAGAACTTTGAACACTGGGATTTTAGAAAATTGTGAGACTGTGTATAATAAAAGTAGCATGGAATTAATTTTTGTTGCATTAGAAACTGAGACAGAACAATGCCAAAGCTTTAGATACTGTTTTACTTAAGTGAACTTCTCGAATTGTCAGGAGGGGACATCCTGTGATCCTGTGACAGGGAGAGGTATACCTCCACTGTTTCTTTTTTTTGTTGCTTGTTTCCTATAGGATGTAGATTAATACTCTTATTTATTATACATAACAATATATAACAGTTGGTCGCTATGAATATAGAAGAGTCAGAATAAAAACTGAGTAGCAAAAATGGCTTAGTCTCTAAGCAGTTTATTTCGTTATTTGATGTACATATTTACAATTAAAAAAGGAAATAAAATAACTGATGCAATCACAGAAAATTTAGTTTTCTGTTGAGTAGAGTTGAGCATCTTCAAAGAGCTCACCTTTCTTTAAACTGCAGTGTCATCTCAGTGCCCCCACTTTTGAGTCAGTATGTTTTTCTGTACCGAAAGGACATTGATACCCTTGTGGCAAATTCCAGGTTTTACACATGGCTGTGTTCATGTGTGTGAGTAACCACGTTAGCACCTTGAAAGTCTTCAGGGTAAAATTCAAAACCATTTTGCACAGGAAAGGAAGAAAACATTGGAAAAGATGAAAGTCCAAAGATACCAGTTCAGTCTCGTTTAGAGTCTTAATTTTTTTCTCTGCCAAATTTCCTTTTACCCATGCTTCAGGATACATAAAGGAGTAGCTATAAAATAGCTTGAGGGTCAGACCTACTAGAATATTCCCGTACTTCCTTATGAAAGCTCAGGGCAAAAGGTTCAAAGAAGGAAAAACTTGTTTCTGATTCCCACTGAGCATAAAGGCAAGTATTGATATGAGCTATTCTGATTTCAACCATTTCAGGATTTGAATGTTCTGGTAATTACACAAAGATCCTGTACATTGTCACTGCAGGTGATGTGTTTTTCAAACAGAAATAGTTGGTGAATGTCCTTTGTCTTTCTCATGAGTGATTAAAAGGAAGATTAAAAGGAGTTTTTCTTCATAGATGTAGTAATGTATTAATTTTAATTTTTTTTCAGAACCTTGTGTTCAGTAGCCACTGTAAAGCAGTTACTGGCTATTCAGATCATGTCATACACCGAAGGAGATCAGCTACCTCATGTGTACGGTGCTGCCAGGTGACTGAGCTGCCGTCCTTCCTGTGCATAGCCAGTCCACGGGTAAGTCCACTTAAGTTAAGTTGTAAATTATGTATTTTCTATTGTGTTTTAAATCTTGTTAGAATTCTGTCCTAGGAACTGAATGATCTATTACGTTCTTTTAGTTGGGTAAAATTGTTGTGAGGATATCCTTTTGCTACTGTATTCAATAGTGGGTTTTTTCATAGGGGAAGTGAGTGTAATGTCTACTGAAGGGAAAAGGAACGTTGTAAGATGCACCCAACAGGAGTTATTCTCTCCTAATACCAAAAGCAATAAAATTACAGAAGAAAATGTAAAGTAGATTATTCCCCAGTGATCTAAGGGGGAGATGTAGGAATAATATGAACAGAATGGGGTGATTGGTCAACTCTGATGACAAAAGGGGGCTGAGGAGCAATGCTTTTATTGAAACAAATGTTAATTTTCTATCATTGCCTCAGCTTATGTTCCGAAAAGGAAACACCAAATTTCACTATATAAGGATTACTTGAGTTGGCATTTTCTAAATCTTTTGTATATTAAGTGGTACTGCTTGGGATTGTCCATCAACTATTAACTGAATTTTGAAATTACTTTAGATGAAGTTTCCTGGGCTGACACAAGAAACCTTCCTAAGTCCATGGCTATTGTTTTCATTCCATGTTGTTGGATCTTGACAAAGCTGGACAATATTTACATTAGTAGGCCATCCAAATGCTATATTCTGTAGTTACTGTTGATGTTATTGCTGTAGGCTTAATCAAATGGGGCCACATGTGCAATTATACCTTGGCATATGGAGAAGGGAGGATGGTGAGTAAGATCTGTGCTTATCACCTACATGCTGCTCCTCGAGCGGAATTCATCCATGCCTGCAGCTCTAGGGGCCAGGAATACAACTGAATTCTCAAAGGCACAGGTCGTCTCCCAGTCACATTATATTACCTGGTTCAAGAACAAGCAGTTACTCTGAGAGTAAATGATGAAAACTACTCTTCCTTCAGATTCCTTTGGTTTGTTGCCCTCTGTTCTTAAATTTGCATTGCGGATGAGTGTGTTGAATACTTCCTGTGCATTAGGAGGGGAGGAGAGTGGCTCAGAAGGCTACATAGAAAAGCAGAAGAGAAAGACAAGGAGAGATCAATCCGGCATTCTAGTGAATAAAAGTTACTTGTTTGGGCTTGGCTGGTGTATAAAAATGATTAAGTGGAGGCATGGCTTTTTGTTTTTAGGAATACAAAGACTTAATTTTATGCTTGTTAGAAACTTTTGGCAGGTGTGTAGAAGACCTGAAACGGCAGAAAGAGCACATGTGTTCCCAGAAACGACAGCCCTCTGTTGTTGTCTGACCTGTGATGGATTTGGGGAAGTTAATGGAGCGAATGATAGAAATAGGAGTGTATGTTTATGTAGCAGGTGGGAGGGGGTAGTGGTGAAGGGGGGCTTTAGAGTTGTAGTTTCTTTGTATGCAGGTAATTTTCATGAGAACAGGTAGGCCTCAATCACAAAAAAAAACCCCAACTTGGAGGATCTGTCCTTGTATTCATTAAAACTCTGATTAATTCAATTTAGATAACACTGTTCATTTCAGTTTAGCAGTTCTCAGCAGATCTCTGTGTCAGAGGTATTGTGGTGAGAAGTGGTTTTGGGCATCTCACAAGGTTTGAAAGGTTAACTTTGCACAGAGATAAATGCAGGAAGCATTTTACAAGTACCCTAATTAAACTAGGTAACTGAATTTAAAGTGGCAATGCATTCATATATCCCTATCACTATATTTTTTGATGCATTTCTGAACCATGACTGTTATATTCAGTCAGTTTGAAAATAATATGACATACTAAGTACTAAGGATTAACCTATATTTTACTACAAGTAAAACCACAAAAACAAACCTGGGAAACAAAAATAGAGAGGAGGAGCATGAACAAGCTTAAATGGAAGATTTTTTGACCTGTTTAAGAAATATGTCATTTTTCTTGTCAAGCCATGTAGAAGGTGCAGTGCTCTATTCTAGAAGTGTGTGTATGTATTGTAAAAAGTGAGGAGCTGACAATAAAGATAGCCTTATGTCTTCAGATGTCAGTCACTGTTACACATGCATGCTTTCTACATGGGAAGATTTGTTCTTGTTATTATTTCCTCAAGATTATTTCCTACTAGCTCTTCCTTTAGGTGAGGTATTACTGAAATGCCTCTTGTAGAATTTTCTCACGTGACTTTATTTTTCTTTTAAAAATCCTAGTGTACAAACCTCCATATTGCTTTCAGTACATAAGCCGTGTTTCTTGTGTCAGAAATTAGTCTGTTTTCTGTGTAGGGGCTGACAGTCCTAAGTGTCCTGGAAGTAAATGTGACAGATTGTCTGTGCCTGAAAGAGCATTTGTTCCAGTTTGTCCAGTGTAGAAATAGAAACTGCAAAATGATGGTTAACAGTGTCCTTTAAAAGAAACAACCAAAGCCTGTAGCACTGTTGTGGTGTACATCAGTGTTCAGGCAACGAGACAGCTGTGAGAGGTTTTGCCCTCTCCCACAAAGGACAGTCCTGTGCTTTGACTGCAGATGGCAGTGCACGACAGCATCAACTCTAACAGTATCTATTAAGTAGTGGGAACGTATACAAAGTCTTACTAAACACCATCCCTTTCAAATTGCTGCATTTCATGGGACTCTGTGCATGGACCTATAAGCCAATCTGGTTTAAAAATAGCTCTTGGCATCTTGCAAAACAATAACTTTACCATTATTGCTAAGATTTTTGTATGCTTTTTAAATTTCATTTTGATACATACTGTAATTATGCTTATGAATCTGTTTAAACAGTTGCTTGGCCCTTGCAAAAATAAATTTCTGTTTGTGAGATTAATTTCTTCCCTTGATAAGAGCTTCTGTTAAGCAGGAGTGAACCACAGGCTTCCACCGAGATTTTGCTTGATGCCTTATAGTTTGAGCTAGCTGGTAAATTGTCAGGGAGGAGCAGCCAGCATCTAAGATACCAGACAATCTGTCCTGAGGTATAAGTTGCTCCCTTCATCTTACAGTTCTAAAACTGTTGATATTTAAACTAGATTCTTGCTTATTATTTAGTTAAGCCATTAAAATATTTTCATTTGCATGATATAATGTTATATATGTTATTCTCAATGTCTAGCTGTTAATTGTGTCACACTAGAATAAGCTGGAACAAAAAATTCATCCTCCTTCAAATACATAAAAGCTTTTAGTCTACAGTACAAAGGTAGTTTTTTCGCTGTGTTTAATATTTCAGTTGTCTCATCATCAAATCAATTCCCACCCTTTCTCACTTCTCCAGAAACTCAGCTGCTTACTGTTCACATCAGACCCAGCAGACTCCCATAGTGTTTCTTCCTACGCAGCTCTGTCTCCTTTTTTGAAATGTGAAAAATTTCACAAGTTTGATTCCCTCTGTGTTCCTTTTGATTTATTATGTTGCTTGTCATAGTCCCATAGGTAATGTCATTTTGCACAGTTAGTATTCATGACAGTTTTTTAAATTTACATGAATTTAAATAGATTATGTTTTTCAATTATACTTCTGAAATAAAAGCGACAATGACTTCTAAAGTAATTGCATATTTCCTTCCTTAGAGAAGACACCTATAAAGCATTGCAAATGTGTAACTTTTCTCTGTGATAAGCCCATACTGTAAAGTTAATTGTCTGATATTTTTTTTTTTTTCATTTTATGTGAGTTTACAACACATTATTAAGTCTCTAGATAGCACGTGAAAGTTTCTACTAGCTTTCTTTTGTAATCTTGGTTATAAATAGCTTTTGAAAACACTTACCCCACAACATTGGCCCAAAACAGACATATTCAGAGAAGTCTGGAAGAAGTTGGTGATCTGCATTTTATTGGAAAGATTCTTGTGCTAGATAGTGAATTGTTGTGTATTTATATTTGTGTGAAAGTGTTGTAATTGTTGTATTTGCTTGGGATCATATGTTTTAACTCGTGGTGAAGTATCTGAAGAAAAACCCAGCAGAGTAGGCTGTCGTGGTATGTACCATGGCTCAGTTCTGCTTTTGGTTTTTCTTACTTCAGTATCTCGAAGTTGTCCCTTACCCTTGTAAGCAAGAGATTAAGAGAAAGCCATAGATGGTACGAAGTGCAACCTTGTCTGCTGGAACAAACTCTTTACTCAAGGACCTTAACAGCCATCAGCGTACAACTCTTTGGCTAACGTGGACCTTCCACACTCTGTCCGGATCTGGGTGGATGGGGCAGAGCAGGGGTAGTTAAAGTGATGGAACCATTCCAGAGTAGCTCACATGGCATGAAATCAGAGTTCCTGTGTTTGCAACACTGGTCTGTCCAGCTGGGTTGTATATACTGAAGCAGGTAATAGGGCAAAACATTCATAGAATGGCCATAAAAAAAAATAAAATAATAAAAAAAAAAGATCACTCTGTGCTTACTTGCACTGTTTCTGTGGCTCAGGTCTGTTAAAGCCAGCTGTCAAGCCCAAGAAATGTGCTGTTCCAGAACAGGACTGTTTTCCTGTTCATTTTTTTTCCTTTCTAATTTATGTATCTTCCTAATTTTAAATTATCACATGAATTTCTGTTAAGGACAATATGTAAATCTTGTCTTTGCTAGGTAAATACTTCATTGTGAAGGGCAAAACATAAAAAGAAATCTAGGTAAAATGAGAGTGCAGCAAGGGTATTATTCTTTTACTCTCAGCTTTGCTATCAGTTGTGTAGCAGCTGGCACAAGACATTGTTTATCAAAAGGCAAGTAGTACATGCCTGGTCATTCATAGGACTGATTTTTTTGTGGTATGGGGAGATATTTCATCTTTGCTTATTTTAAGACAGTCTAAGATTGGATTTGACTTTCAAAATTTTATCCTGTGGGAAGGTACTTGAACTGGGGATTTGGGGATGAAGGGAAATCTGAACAGGAATGTTGATGATTATTGTACTTGTAGGTAACAGCTGTGCCACTGGAATTCTACTGCAATGACCGAAGCGCAGAGTATGAGCGCAGGGCACTAAAGGAAGGAGGAAGTCTTGAAGCAAAGCAGTGTGTACTCAATGGAGCCCCTGAGCTAGCAGCTGACTGGCTGAAGCAATGCTCCCAGTTCTTCCCAGAGCATCCAGGAGGGCTGTTGGGGATCAGCCCTCAGAACGGCTGGTCTTTTATCAGGATACCAGGTAAGTTTGGAGGCTATTGTGGAACGGAGGTGAGATAAAGAAGGACATCTGCTCTTTGGTAATTATCATAGAATCTCCTGGTGGAAAAGAGCTCTGAGATCATCGAGTCCAACCATACTTGTCCACTACTAAACCATATCTCTGAGCACCTCATCTAGCCTTTTAAACACTTCCAGGGATGGTGACTCAACCACCTCCCTAGGCAAGCCTGTTCCATCGCTTGATAACCCTTTCAGTGAAGGTATTTTTCCTGACATCCAATCTGTACCTGCCTTGGCACAACCTGAGGCCATTTCCTCTTGTTCTGTCATCAGTTACCTGGGGGAAAAGACACACACCCACCTCACTACACCCTCCTTTCAGGGAGTTGTAGACAGCAATTGGGTCTCTCCTTCATTATGGTTGTGTGTTTGTTTTTCCTCCTGAGCTAAAAACTTGGCCTAAGAGATCTTTTGTCTGTCTTACTAGTGAAAGACTATTGTCTTACTGCATTACTTGTAGCAGTTTACCATGAGAAGGACGGGTTTGGGTACCAAGTACAGAGGAAATCAGTCTGGAAAATGAGGCACGAGGTATTTACTGAGTTTTAGTTGGAATAAAGAACACTTATTCGTATTTCCTGGTAAAGTGGGGAAAAGGTACCAGTGTACTAGTAAATTAAATGCACTTAATTTTTTCCTAGAATTAGACTAAAGTAATCCAAGATTTGCTAGAATTTGATTCCCCACGCTGCAGTGACTTTCAGGGGCCGGATATGCTCTAGCTGTCGGAAGATGGTCCTGAGCAGTGAGCAGAGTTCTGCAGAAAGTACTAGAGATCTGAGAGATAGCCAAGAGGAAAAACAGCTTACACTGCCAGATGCTAAGTTATTCCCAGACCCTTTTGGGTCAAGGATGTTTGGCAGGGGAAGTTAGTACAGTAAAAGGAAAATGGCCTTTTGCTTGCTACAGTCCGGTTTAAGAAGATACCTCATAAGTACTTGCAGTCATTTGAAGCACATGCACATTTGTACCTATGTAATGGAGAAACCATTTTTCATGAGCTTGCACTAGATTAATGTTCAATGACAGTTGGTGATTTTATAATTTATTAATGAATTCATTGAATTGTTTATCAATTATTTGGAGAGAGAAAATGAATCGCTGTGGCAGAAAGGAGGGAAATAGTGAAGGGATTAATTAAGGTAGAAGGCATGGATAGAGAAATGAAGAAAAGTAGCCAATGTAGAATAAAGGGCCACATTCTCTTGAAAAGACATTTTAAGCTGATGAGTTTGTCATCAGCAAAAATTTGCAGAGGAATAAAGATGGGGTACAAGAAGCTTTACAGAAGCACGTTAATAGGTGCAAGGTTAGGCAAATTGTTGTCAAAGCACAACAAAGAATTTGATTGAGAAGGTGGTTGGGATGAGTGTGTTATGTAAAGCTGGCTTATTTTAGGAGGTGTTGGAGCTAAAAGTGGTTTTAAAAAAAGTAGTTTAATGCAGCTATGTTTTAATTAAGTGGAAAGTAGCATTCAAACCTAGAGCTGATTCTAAGAGGAGAGGGCACACACCAGAACAGGAGAGCTGTGTTTGTACGTGCAGGAGCAGGCATGGAAAGAGCCTGATGTACTGAAGGAGCCTTTTACAAGGCTGAAGCCCAGCAAGTGTTGAGTGGAATGGTAGGTGTGAAGGTCTTCGGTAAATAGGTGACAAGAAGAAAAGGAGATACCTCTCTCTCTCTTAACCCTGATCTATCCTCTCCCAGACTCGGCGTTCCCAGTACCCTGGCAGCAGGCTCAGCTGCGATCACTGTGGGAATCTCTTGAGGCTTTTCCTGTTCTTTGAAAGAAAAATGGTCCTGGATTAAATGGCAGGAAGTGTCTGAGTCCTTTTAGCATCGATAAAAAGCACCGGCCTCACTGGCTGTTTACTGTGAGAGCCAGCTAGCTCCTCACTGACCCCATTGTGCCGTGCAGACTGTCGGGAGGGGAACCAGGGGTGTCAACTGGAACCTGGACTTTATCTCTCTTTCCTCTACTTTTTGCATGTCCAGAGGCACTTTTTCTCATTCTCCAGAGAGTGGTGAGCCCAGCTACACTCATGGGCCAGAACTCCTGACTGGGGTTATTTTGAGTCATAATCATTTGTAACTATCCTCCCCAGGCCATAGGATCCCACTGTATCCCCTTGTAGATAATTTATGTCCATATCCCTGCATGGCTGGAGGCAGAGACTTTTTTATTATCATTATTATTATTATTTTCAGACTGAAAGCATACAGTATTTTACAATTACTTTCTTTTTGGTCTGGTTCTCTTTTCTTGTTTATTTCATACAGTGCTGAAGAACCTAAAAATTGCTTCCTAGGGAGAGTTCTTTGATGTGCAGTCCAGGACCTCTGTCTCCTGACTGGCTTAAAATGTTAAAAGTTCCTTTGATACTATTAAAAAAAAAATTAAAAAAGCCAAAGACATTAACATTGGAAGTTTTCACCAGTCATTAAAAATGAAAAATGTAGAATTGCAAATTTTGGAAATCCCATTTTAAAAAAAGAAGCAAACCACCTTTTTCTTCCTCCAAGGTAAAAGGAAATGAGAAATAGAAGTAAGAGAAACTAGAGGAGGAAGACACTCTTTTTTTTTTTCTTTTATTTTTTTTTTCTCTCTTTTGAATAGTTGTGGTGTTTTCTGAAGATGGCATTGAATTAAAAAAGTACATTTTCTGTTACTGCTTTCCAGAATTTGTCCTTTGAAGCACTAGGTGGCAGGCTTTAAGCATGCAAAAAATATTTGATCTTGGAAAACACCAAGATAGCATGCTTAAAGATGCCAGGTTAAAGTCAAATGGTTTTCTCTTCCAGAGATGATAAATCTTTTTTTGTTAGTTCTATTTTGCTTTCTGAAAAAAAAAAAAAAAAAAAAAAAGAAAAAAGAAACCAAACCCTAAAAAAACCCCCCCAAAACCACTAACAACAATAAACCTCCAACTTTCTCACTAGTGCAGTCAGCTCTGATGCTGAGATATTGGACAAATTATGAACTGTTAATAAGTTACTAACTTTTCAGACTGTAAGATCATCTGCAAATAAGTTCTTTACTTGTAATTTGCATTTTATTGCTATTTAAAAATAGTAACTTACACAATGGAGACTTAGGGAGCCAGCAGCAAAGGACGTGCATCATTTCCAGTAACGAAAACTTAATTCTACCTATTCATGCCTGTCTGAGAAAAACAGTAGTATTTTGCTTTTGGAAACTTGCTAATATGTTAATCTGAGCCACTTGAAACTGACTTTTGAACAGACCCTGTTTGTTCTCTCAGTTTCCTTCCAGTCAGATGGCTTTTGGTTAATAATCATATTAGTTTGTCATGTGTATCTAGACTTTTCATGTTGCTTCACTCAAATTTAATTCATTCTGAAATAGCAAGCTCACCAATTAGAATAAAAGCAGAATGTCATGGCTCTATGGATTTAAAGGAGAGAATAACATGTTCTATAAAGTAAACATTGCTACTGTGCAGGGTTTTTGACTTGTTTAGATGTATTTTAAAACCAAATAACCATACGTAATTTCCATTTTTAATTGCCTAAGTTCAAAGTTTGGTTTTGCTTAGAAGAATGCATGAAACTATTAACTATTTGTGTGTAATTGAGACAGTTCTGTTCTAGAGATGAGCGCGCCATTATAGGTTATGTTGCATGTAGAAGAAACGCCATCCTGAGCTTTGGTCCTGAGTTTTCCTTACAGTATCTCCTTGACTTGGCTCTCTAGTTGACAGATTCCCTAAAGTAGTTGGTAAAGATTCAAGCAATGATGTGGCATTTGCTTCTGGCAGAGCAACAAGATCACCATCAAAAGGGAGTGCAAATTGGAGAACAGTGATTATCTAGATAGGCAGGCAAGCAAGCAAGAAAGAGCAGAGCTCTCTTGTCTTGGATTTTTCACAGAATCACAGAATGGTGGGGGTTGGAAGGGACCTCTGGAGATCATCTAGTCCAACCCCCCTGCCAAAGCAGGTTCCCTACAGGAAAGCATCCAGGTGGGTTTGGAACATCTCCAGAGATGGAGACTCCACAACCTCTCTGGGCAGCCTGTCCCAGTGCTCTGTCACCCTTACATTTTTAGCAGGTGAACTGCAGGAGCATGGCTCTAAACTTACCAAAGGAGAGAGCATTCACAGTCATTGGCTTATAGTACAAGTAGAATAGCTAAGAATTTTAAGCAATATTGACAACTCACAATTTTTTTTAATTTCAGAAAGCAGAACTGTTGGCTGCATCTTCTGATGTCCTAATGTCCATGCCACTAATTGCAGCATCAAGTCCATTATTTATATTTAAGCTAAAAGATATTTTTGAAAGAGACCTTGATTGAGATACTAAAGTGGTGAAGGATCCACCGTGTTCAGGATAAAAGTGTTGCTGACTAGTTTTTCCTCATGGTTGGAAGGATAAGAGGGAAGCGTGCCTTGTTTTTACAGTTCAACAAGTCACTGAATACTGTGCTTTTCTTTGCTAGTATAAAGTTAGCTTCTGTTGTTAAAAACCTTTGTCCGAAAGAAGAACCTTGAATAGTGCCAATTGCTCTTTGAAAAACTGAAATAGATCAAGTTTCTGAAATCCCTCGCTGCAGGAAAAGTTGGGGGGTTTTTTTAACACACTGAAATCTTGGAGATTTCTCCTGAACACTTTCTGTTTTTTAAAGCCTTTCTGAAAGGTGTGCTAAACTGAAGCATGTTGTTTCAAAATGATCTTTTGAATGAAGTATAGAAGAACAACGACATTC